ATTTAGAACTTTAGGAACAACAATATTTTCTATCCAAAAGTGTATAAGTTATTTAAAAAAATATATAAAAAAGTTTGAAATACCAAATTAAACAAATTTTTTTTCAGTGTATTTTATTTGAAACTATTAAAATTTATTTCAAAAAAATAAATTTGTATTTCCTCTGAGACGCTAATATTTTTTAAGTAAAATTTTTACATTTTTACATATAATTCACGAATATCTACTTCAAAAGTTTCGTCCTTTTTCCGAATAAAAGGTCTGTGATAATTATGGTTTTTTGCACAAATCCTCGTTTTCGGAACGATTTCGGGAATTCCTACAGAACTTTTTTTTCCGTGTAAAAAATGATATGATTCATAGATTCTAAGTAAAATATAGACTTTATATAGGTTAATCAATTCGTTTTAATGCGAGAAATTAGTTTTTTGGACAAAAAAAAATTATATTTACAATGTAAAAAAATTTTTGGTTAAAAACGTATTTTCGAATTTTTGAAAAATGACAAAAAAAATTTTGTGGATAATTTTCGAAATCCTTGTGTCTGATTTTAGATATTGATGACTGTAATATAAGTCTACAAAATTTCAGAACAATTCATTGAAGTGTATTAGGGATAATTTATATACTAGATTTTGTGACAAACACACACACATACACCTGGACATTTATTTGAAACTTCAAAATATGCATTCTAGACAACAATTAGCCCATATAACCCATTTTTAAAAAATCGAAAATTGTCACGAATACAAAGCTTCCTCGTGAGGAGAGGAAGCAAAAAACCAAAAATATTATAAAAAATGTTTGCTCATTATTGGGCTAGACTTAAAAGTTTCGTAAAAAGTAGTTTTTTTGAAAAAAATTTGAAAAAAATTGATCAGTACGTCAAATGAGAAAAATGACTTTTTATCATTAAAACTCAAAAATTTGCTAGTAATATCGTTTAAAAAAAATCGATTTGTTTTAAATTATGGATTCAGGTTAAATTTATTCGAATAATCATAATGTTTAATAAAATAATTTTTTGTAAATTATTTTATTGTAAAATAATATTTGGCAAACATGAAGTTAGAGAATTGTTTGCACCTTCGTGTCGTATTGGTTTGCTACGTAGATAATAGTTATTTATGTGGCAAGGGCGCAAGAGTAGGGGAATCGAGACTCGCGTGAGTTTGACGCACGAGCGAAGCGAGTGCGACAATTACGCGAGTCGAGATTCCCCTATTTGCGCCCATGTCCCATACATAATTTTTTATAACATTTTGCATCAAAAACTTGACAATATTGCTGTGATGAAAGGGGAAAGTGTGTGTAAAAGTACGATTTCCCCTCCTTTTAAGCACACTGTGCGTAAAAGACAGCGATTTAGTCGAGTTTTTGACGCAAAGTGTTATAAAAAATCTTTTAGGAAATTGACATGAATTCTATGTCAAAGGTCTTATCTACTGAGGTTATACCAGCAAATATTACCTTTTAAAGGAAGAATCTTACGTAATTATGAAAAATAGGGATTATGTCCCCATTTACGATGGCTCACATGCAACTAACTGAAGTGTACAACGCTCTTGTTTAATTTATTGATTTAAATATTAAATGTATATTGTTGTGAAATAAAATAAAGTAAAAAAAAAGATGGCTCAGATGCTTTAGGCGTAGAGTTTGAACCCAACGTATCGCGGGTTCGATCCAAGGTCCGGGTAGAGTTTTTCATTCCTGATTTCTGTATAAACGTGTACAAATATAACAAAAATCAAAATTTAAGTAAGATAATAAATAATTAATGTGTTTTAACTTAAAAAATATTCTGAAGAAAAAAAATTTCTAAGTCCTAAAGATGTCTGCAGGACGTCTTTTCTGAACGTCTTTTAGACGCCCTTTTCGGATGTCTTTTAGATGTCTTCTGGACAGAAATAGAACGTCTTAAAGAAGTCCTTTGTATGTCTTTATGATGTCTTCGAGACATTATCATCAAAGTCTCAGGATGTCCGCGGTCAAAAAAAGACGTCTTCAATAAATAAATATTTTTATAAATATAATAAATATTTAAATCAAATTTTTAATTGAAAAATAGTTCAAGATAATTGAATATGTGAAGAATTTCATTAAAATTATTGAAAATAATTAATTTCAGGATGAATTTTAGTTAAAAAGTTAAATAATTTAAATAAAAAAGATCTTAAGAAGATCTGCATTGGATACTAAAAACGGTATCCGATCAAAGTCCCGAAAGGCCATTCCACGAAAGAAATATTTCACGAATGGCCATATTCCCAAAGACCTTTTTCCTGAAGGTTTTTAAACCAGAAATATTTTTTTAAATCTATTAGAAAATCAATATTATTTCATGTATATTTGTAAATATAAAAAATAATATTAATATATGTGATATAAATATAAAATATCAATAAAAAAATATATAAAAGATACAAAAAAACATAAATATAGGCAATAAAAATATGTAAAAGTTAAAAATGAGTAGGATAAAAAATATAAAATAATAAAAATTGGACAAGTGCGAGTTACACTTGCAATAAAACCAAGGGTTTCGTACCTCGACTTACGGGGGGAAACTAGTGTAAACAAAAATTTTTTTACAATTTTCTTTTTGCTTTAAAAATTAGTTTACTATCTGTAGAATATGATCCTACATTACTAATCTATAATTAGATGTATGAATATTTATAGTATACATAAGTTTAGCACCTCAGATGCTACCAAATGCAGTTAACGATGAGCACGAGATCTCTCTATTCTTTCGGATTTTTGTCAATATATTTTATTAATTGTCATTAGCAAACACCATAAGCAAGTGAAAGTAAATTTTAGTTGAAATAAAACTAATTCAGTTGAATTGAAATGAATACACCATGGGCTTCTGTGAGTCCCGCTTAGCAACAAATTCGAATTGGAGCTATGTTTCCATTTTTCTGAATTCGACAAAACTGCGTATTAAGGGGTTAGTACTACAAACGCTCCAATTACAAGGAATTTTATTGAAAATATTAAAAATAAGCTTTATTTGAAAAACATGGAGAGGGTTCTTTATGTTTATTTCATAAACATTTTGCTTCCTCATTGTGTGAAGCAAAAAATTTGTTTCCTCATGGAGGAAGCAATGAATTTCTCCAATTCCATTGATTGATTTAAAACATTTCGAGTTAAAAACTGATTTAAATTAATTAAATTTATTGAAAATTTTAATTAATTTTGGGTGTGACATATACTTTATATATATACGAATCGATTCGTTTTGAATACAATTATTTTATGTATTAACTTGAATTTAAATATATAAACAAAATTTTTAGCTAAAATATGAATTTTTGATTTTTCAATTTTTATTAATTCTTAAAATTTAAATCAAATTTATACTTTATATATACCAATCGATTTATTTCAATGTAAGGAATAAAGTTATTTCATATATAAACTTGAATTTAAATAAACAAAAAATTTATTAGCTAAAATGTGAATTTTTGATGTTTAACTTTCATTAATTATTTAAATTAAATCTATACTGTATATATGGGTGATTTTCCGCAAACTGTGATTTTTCAGGCTCTAATTTTTTTTTATAATTTTGGAATAATCAATGGATATTAACATTATTTCACTTCTATTTCTTAGTAGAATAAGGAGTAAGAATGATTCTACACGTAACTCAAAATTCACAAAGATATTCTAGAAATAGTAAAATAGTGCTGCCACGGTAGTGACCTAAAATCCACGGTAGTAATAATACAATGTTTAGAGAAACATCGCGTATAAAATTTTGAATTGATGGAGTAGGGGATGTTTCCTACATACAAAATACTTTATTATCAAAGTTATATTAATTGGTAATAATTATTTTATTTATAACTAATAATTATTAATTATTAAAATCACAAAAGAGGAAAGAACTGAAAACTGAAACTTAAATAAATTGACGTATAGAATAATTACTTTTACTAAGAAAGTATACAAAGTGAAAAATGAATTTATTTATAGTAAATAATTAATTAGCTGGATGCTATAAAGGAATACGCGCCAAGTTAAATAAATGGCGCATATTTTTTATTTAAAACTAAAATTTTTTCTAATCAAAATTATTTTTGTAGTCCCAAAGGAAATTTTTCCAGGATTTTCACACATGCGTCTATTGCTACGCCGACAAAAATAACATAACCTAAAATTGTTCATGTATTTTACAATCTGTTTTTAATTATTATGTTGTTGATTAAATTTTTACGAGGCTTTTTTTACGGAAACCAGGTGTTTAAAATTTTTTTAAAGATTGTTTAAGGACAATATGTTTCGACAGCATATACTGTCCTCTTCAGGTCCAATGGCTTTTTTTATAAAAAAATAGATATTAACAATTGACGAATGACAAATAACATTTTCCTGTAATGAAGATGTTTTTTTCGAATCGATTAATAAGAAACATTAAATTTAAAATTTAAGAAATTTAAGAAACTTCATAAAGAGGAAATGTTATTTTTTAAAAATGTTAAGATTCTTGACAGATCGTGTTCATAGAGCACAATGTAACTAATTTATGATAATAGTTAGTTTATTTATGATAATAAATGTGTAGTTTAATTGGAACGTTTCAATATTCTATAAGACATTTATAGTTGAATAAAAGTTCTTTGATTTCATATTTTTTCTTTTTCTTTGACGTTTCAATTGTTTTCATAGAAGATAATATTTTACTTGAATTTTTTACTTTAAAATCTAAGTTTACTTTTTTTTAACATTCTACTTTCTTTTTTAGTTTTGAAGATACTTTTCATACTTTTTTTAAGTCTTCTACTACACTACGAAGCTTGCGATTGAGCTGCCGGATCAAAGAAGGGCACATAACTAATGTAATTCAAATGGGTTATGTGCCCTTCTTTGATCCGGCAGCTCAATTATAATTACGTTTTGAGACCGTAAAAATGGGAATTTTGTTTTTGGCAATGCTAGAAAGTCGAAAAGTCACAGGCGAAATAAAAAATTGTGATGCTTACCAAACGCCCGTAAATTTCCACTGTGAAAATCCTCCAGAAGCTGCAGCAGGGCTTGCTCCATGCGTCTTACATCGGGTACCTCTGACAAAAAGCAATGGTGCTTGCAAGGAACCTTGGCTTTACAAGACAACACCAATGCGAAAACAAGTACTACTTAACAAAAACTCAAGGAAATCATAAGTCTCTAAACATAAATAATAATATAAAGCTTAAATTGTACAGAAATATAATTGAACCCATTCCCAAGTTATACTGAAAAAAATTATTTGATTCAAGTAATTCAAATTATTTGAATAAGATTTATTTGTTTCAAATAACTTGAATCATTTGAAACATTTATATACACGATCTGCATAAAATTTAAGTTCAATTTTTTATCTAAATAATTAAAATTTTCAAAATAAAAAATGTTTCTCATTGGGGGCAAAGCCGTTAAAAAAATGTTTTTTAAAACAATATTATATATTAGTAGTATGAATTTATCTCTCGGTGATATTTTATATAGTGTATGAAGATATCGATCACTCGGAGTCAGGTAATTTTACCTGACTCGGAGTGATCGATATCTTCATACACTATATAATATTATATATTATTAATATAATTTAAAATCTAATAATTAAAAGAAATTGCACCAACATTTCGTCAAAGGAGTAAAAAATTAAATATACAAAAAACGAATAAACGATTGTAAACGTTTAAATAAAAATCGTCACATGGTTATTGTATGTGATTAGTCAAACTGAGTATAACGGTGACAATTTTCGTATTATATACAGAATACTGGGTCAATGAACCTTCATAGAAATATTGTGAATATAATCATTGTTTTAATTTGCTAAGTAAAGGGAAATAAGAATACTAAGGTATTACTACTATTGTTTAAAGAAAAATTTTTTTGAAAAAGATATTTTTTTTGTGATTTTTCTGATTTTTTTATGGCAATAATTATTAACAGACACGTTGAATTTGTCGTTCACTCGCTTTTTTACCCGTTTTGTTATGGCTTTGATAAATTCAATCGTGAAATTTCTGGCACCTGACTTATATTTCAAAGCGTGAAGTTTAGTTAATAATTTCGATTTTAATTTTTGCAATAATTTTATATCATGATTTAAATACCTATTTACAGAATCAACAGAGGTAATAGTTCCCGTGCAGAAAAATCTTCTGGAACGTCTAGAGTCAAGCCTGGCGCAAGCTAGAAAGCGTCTAGCATCGCTAGTCTGAAAGGTCTGGCTTGGCCCAGTTCTGGTGCTACTCAGCCACTAGTCAAACCCTGAATAGCGTCGCTGATCTGGAAAGTCTAGATAACTAAAAAATTTTAGTTTGTATTTTCTAGGCAGTGTCTAGCGATGCTAGTCTGGAAGGTCTAGCCTAACCCAGGTTTGGTGCTAGCCAGAAGTAATAGATAATTAAAATTTTTAAATTTGGTATTTCGACGCTCCCCGTCGATAAAATATTTATTCAAACGCCAGTGCAATATAATGTTAACTCAGAATGTTGTTCCATATGATGTCTTTTGAAAATTTCGTGCTTTGTAGAAAACAAAAAACAAGTTGTGAAAAATTCTATCATATTTAATTTGAATGCGTAGAAGTGTTAAAATGAAGTACCCTTCAATTCTTTAATTCATTAAGAGTAAAAAAAAATGTAACATACAATAGTAACTTAAGAGAACATATCCAGTCATCATTTTCAAAAAATCGATTTTTTTCTTTTTTTATTATATTACAACTTTTTTGAAATATTTTCCCGAAATTTCAAACCAATTTGAAGAAAATTCATAATATTATAATAAATATTAATTTTTAACGTAAATGTACCATTAGTTTTGTGCAATTTTTATTCATTAAGTTATAAAAAGAAAATATTTTTTTAAATAAATTAAAACTGTATTGCACAATTATTTGAATCAATATTATATTAGACTAAAAGTTAAATTAAAATTTTATTGAACTCACCTTGAATTGACATTATGTTGCACAAAAAATTTAATAAGAATTATGTTGCATGACAGTTTCAAAAGATATCACATAGCACAATTTTCTGAGTTAATATTTTATTGTACTGGCGTTTGAATAAATATTATATCGACGGGGGGCGTCGATTTCTAGACTGTGTCTAGCGAGGATGATCTGGAAGGTCTAGCCAGATCCAGCTCTGATGCTGGCCAGAAGAGTTGAAATTTTAGAAAATTTTAGAACTAAAATTTTTTATTTGGTGACATGACAACATACTTGAGATAAATCGGATTTTTCAATTTTTTTTATTTAATTTAAGCTTACATTTTATTTACTATTTTAAAAAAGAAAACTTTATATTGAACACATTCAATTGCAAAATTATTAAAAATAATAATAATAAAATAATCCTTCCAACTTATAGTGAAAATAGTATAACTATTATTAAATAGTCAAATTAAGTAAAATTATTATTATAAATAACGATTTTTACAATTGTAGTTCATATAAGACAATTTGAACAAAATTTTCCAAGGCGATTTAGCCGCGGTCGTTAAAGCGTTAGATTACGTCTTAGGTTAGGTATAGGGCCGTGGGTTCGATCCCCGTGGGTTGTAAATTTTAATTTAATTCTTAAAATTTAATGTTAGAAATGCAAGTGTCCTAAGTTAATAAGAATTGTGGATAATATTAATTTTTATTGTACACCGAAAAAACGATATTCTAATTTTAAGAATTTTCAACTTATTTTATGAATATGCGAGACTTAAATAGGCGCCACGAATATATTCTTAAATTAAGAATAGAATCTTCTTATATTAAGAATATTTTCTTAGAATCACTTTTTTAGAATATAATCTTAAAATAAGTATATTTTCTTCTTGTATCAAGAAATATACTTTTAGCAGTTTTAAGAATACTATAAACTTAATTATCAAATCCATAGTAAGACCTCTCACTCTTTTCATGGTGTTTATATGTGGACGTCCAAATGAAAAGGTACCACTTTGTCGGTTCTAGATTCCGAGATAATCGCGATTTACTAATTTCGAAGGAAAAAATCGAATTTTTTTTATTTTTTTTTATTAATCTACAGGGTCTTACCTGTCGAATTATGTAGTTTTCGTAAATTTATTGCTACTTTAAGTATTTTATTTCATCGTTTGAAAAAAAAGAAAAGGTACCACATTGTCGGTCTAATGCGAAATTTGTGAATTTCTGTTGTTTCCGGCATATTATTGCAACACTTTGGCTGGAAATATATCACTGGGTTACAAAAAAATGGTCAAGTCGTGTTTATTTAAAATTTTTTGTGTTTATTGAAAGTTTATGTGTCACTGATCAAGAATATACCCAAAAAAAATTTTTCCATTCGGTCAGTTCCGTAGAAAACGAGATTAAAGTGTCAAAAAATCGCCTTTTTAGCACTTTTTGAAGCGTTGTAAAATGAAAACACAACAAAATAAAAATCTTCACGAGGGCTTGAATGAAAGCTTAAACCTTCAACTTTGAGTCCCAAAACTGAAAAGTGAATGATAATTGCGCAGAAAATTTATATAACGTGAAATGAATATCTCAAATAGTCAAAATAGCTGGGATAGAGAGCACTTGTTAAAAATCGATTTTCATAACCGAATTTATTTGGAACTTGTTACTTGGAAGTTTTTAACGTTTCTATTGACGTTTCGAAAGTTGGATTTAAAAAATTCAAAATGGCGGATTAAAAATGGCGTTCAAAAATTTCAAAAATGGAGTGAATTCTTTCGCAGTTTTTTCCTCGGGGTTTTTTGGTGACGCTGATTACGAATTTGAAGTTTATTTTAAAGAATAAAAAATGTCGGATACAAATTTTTATTTAATTTTCATAAAACTTGGTTTTTAAATGTTTTTTGGGGGTCCTGAAAATATAAAAAAGAGCATTATTTTTGTAAATAATAATGTTGTGAAAATAACTTAACTTTTTTTGTCATATGTGAGTCAAAACTTAATAATAAAATAATTTGTTAGGGTCAATCGGGGTAAATCCGAACGCTTTTAGTAAGTTTCAACAATAACATAAGTTTTTTCTTTAAAAAAAAATACTTCCGATAATCTGGTGCATGAAGTTGTTACTTTACTTCCATAGAACAATTTTTTGGGGTAGCAAAACTTTTTGATAAATTACAATCGCAGGAAACTTAGCGTTCGTATTTACCTCGATACTTTGCAACTTTCCTAAAATACCGGGGTAAATACGAACGCCACTGTATTTCAGAAAAATCTTAGGGAAAATAAATTTAAAGTATTGCAATTGTTAAACTTATATAAAAACTCAAAAAAATACGATAATAAACCTACTATGTAATAATGCATCATATATAAATACAAAAATCAAACAGGTTAAAAATTAAAATGCATTACACAATTAAAACCTTCAATAACTTTATCAAATCATAACGGATTTTTGCAAAACTTGGTACAGAAAGAATTTTGGAGTGATTGAATGTAAATACAATAAAAAATCGGACAAGTGCGAGTTACACTCGCACTGAAATCGAGGGTTCCGTACTCGAAGCGAACTTATTTGGTATAAAAACAAATGTTTAAAAAATATGTGTTGTGTATTAAATAATATATGTGATACAAAAATGAACAATTTAAAAAAAAAAAATTAAGAAAATTGTTCCTCCTTTGGTATAAAAACAAAAAAAAAAATTTAAATTTGTTTTGTATTTCAAATAATATAAGTGATACGAAGAGGAACAATTTTCTTAAATTTTACAAAATTGTTCCTCTTCGTATCACTTATATTATTTGAAATACAAAACAAATTAAAAATTTTTTTTTGTTTTTATACCAAAAGAGGAACAATTTTCTTAAATTTTTTTTTAAAAATTGTTCATTTTTGTATCACATATATTATTTAATACACAACACATATTTTTTAAACATTTGTTTTTATACCAAATAAGTTCGCTTCGAGTACGGAACCCTCGATTTCAGTGCGAGTGGATCTCGCACTTGTCCGATTTTTTTCGTTTTTTGCGGAAAAATACATTTTTTTATTAAATTTATCATTTTTTTTCAAAAATTTGATAAAAATTGATCATCAACTCCAATCGCGCTTACATTTTTTCCCTGTATTTTTCACGCAAAAATACAGTTTTACAGCAAATGTGAACAATTTGGGTTGAATATTGTGTGCGCTAGGGAGAATAAATCATTTTTTTCGAAATTTTTTATTTTTCCTTGACAACGCTATGTAAATTGATCGGAATCAAGTTCGCTATATTTTTCCTGTAATTTTCACGTAAAAATAAGTAAGTGTACCAAATTTGAGCTCTTTATGTCAAAAGATGTGGCTGCTAGGGGGGGGTACATAGTCATTTTTAGGTATTTTTCGTAAAAATTCATGGTTTTTCCTTGACAACGCTATGATAATCAACTCCAATCATGCACGCTATATTTTTTTTGTAATCTACACGTAAAATTACGTTAAAATATGTAAATTTAATTTCCTTTAAATAAAATTTTGTTCGTTTTTGGTGGAAAAATACATTTTTTTCCTAAAATTGTCATTTTTTCTTGAAAAACTTGATGAAAAGTTAATCATCAACTCTAATCGTGACCGCTTTTTTTCCCCTGTATTTTTCCCGTAAAAATACATTTGTATACTAAATATGAACTGTCTGGGTAGAATATTGTGTGCGCTAGGGAGAATAAATCATTTTTTTCGAAATTTTTGATTTTTCCTTGACAACGCTATATAAATTGATCAGAATCAAGTTCGCTATATTTTTCCTGTAATTTTCACGTAAAAATACGTAAGTGTACCAAATTTGAGCTCTTTATGTCAAAAGATGTGGCCGCTAGGGGGGGGGGGTACATAGTCATTTTTAGGCATTTTTCGTAAAAATTCATGGTTTTTCCTTGACAACGCTATGTTAATCAATTCCAATCAAGTTCGCTATATTTTTCCTGTAATCTACACGCAAAAATACATATGTGTACCAATTTTCAGCCCTCCAGATAAATTTGTGTGGCCGCTAGGGGGGGGTACACGATTTCAAAAAAACCGGTATTAATAGGGTTCCGAACCGAGTACGGAACCCTAAAAATAAAAGTTAAATTTTTTAAATTCAAAATGGCGGACTTTCCTAAAACTTATTTTTAAAAATGATCAAATTTGCTAACTCCAAATTCGTAATCAGCGACCCTGAAAACCCCGAGTAACAATTTTCGAGAGAATCCAATGAATTTTTTAATTCTCGTCCGCCATTTTGAATTTTGAAAAACTGACTTCAAATTGGTAATTAGCGACCCCAAAAACCGTAGAATACCAAATTTTATTAAGATCCTGAAAAACTTTTTTCAACAAACCATTTGGCAAAAAAATTGAAACACTCCTTCGAGAGAACAGAGATTAAGTTTCTGCTTATTAATTACTAACGAGGATACGTATAGAAAGAAAAACTTTTTTCTATGTACTTTTATAATGTTAAAATAATAGTGTAATGAAATAAAAACAATTTTGTGTGGCTCTGATGTAAAAAAAAATTATTGAAAATACCGTTCGGATTTACCCCGGTTTTCCAATTTTCCTAGGTAAATACGAACGGTCTGATATTATTAATAAAATTTTACAGAAGGCAAAAATCAAAAATAGTTTCTGTTCTAGTATTCATAACAAACAATTATAAATAATAAAATAAATTTTTAGCTTCTTTTTCTTCAAATACGAGACAAAATACTGAAAGAGTGTCATCTTTGATTTTCAATCTTTTTTGCAATACTCGTTATTTTTGTTTATGCTGTTGCTAATTAACAAACGAAAAATGGGATAATACTTAGAATCTCTTGAAGAGGATCTGAGGTAAAAATTCTCATATCAAACTTATTTTTATAAATTTTAATTAAGCTGAAATAATTAGCGTTCGGATTTACCCCCCGTTCGGATTTACCCCGGCTGACCCTAATATGTTTTTAGTTAAGAATCTTTCTTATCATCCCTTTTAATTTATTTTTGATACAATTGTAGTCGCATTTAGCGTTTCAAAAATTTTGTTATTAATAAATTTAGTGTTTTTGCTTCCTCGTGGAGGAAGCTTTGTAGTCCTTTAATTTTTGAAATTTTTAAAAATGCTTCAAACAAATTTATTTCTATTTATAAATGTCAAATATGAGTACCTGATGAATTGTCCGGATGTATGTGTGTGTGTGTGGATCACTTTTTTGTGAACACGATAACTCGAAGAGGTATTAACGAATTTGCCTAAAAATTGCTGGGTATGTATATCATATTAATATCTCAAAATTGTCGAGAGGATTTATGAAAAAGTTGAAAAAAATTTTTTTTTTACTTTTATCAAAAAATTCATTTTATTCAAAAAAAAATTTTTTTATATATATTAAAGCGAATATATGATAAAATCTTATTTTTTGCACTAAGACGAATCGATTGGTCTATACAAATTATAAATTATATTATAAGTGAGAGAATTAATTACAATTAAATCCGAAAAATTTGCATTTTTATTAAAAATTCAATTCTTTATTCAAAATTTTGTAACTGCACAGTTAAATCTTAATCATTGTATAAAATCGACTAAAAAATCTTATTCTTTACATCAAGACGAATCGATTGGTGTATATAAAGTATACATTTTATTGAAATTTAATAATATTAATCACAATTAAAACTGAAAAATTCACTTTTTTACTAAAATTTGTTTATTTATTCAAAATTATGTTACTGTATAATAAAATCTTATTCATTGCATTAAGAATTAATCAATAAATTGATCTTACATCGTAAAGAGGAAGTAAAATATTCATGTAATGAATATCTGAATTTACAACTTGTTTTATTTACTGCGTTATGTTTCATTAATTTCATAACACTTATAAAATTTTACACATCTACAATTAATTCTTTGAAGTTTGCGCTGACAAATGACTGTCTTTTAACATACTGTTAACGTTATTTAGTCTTCGTAAAAAGTCATTTGAAGCCTAAGAAATTGTTATTATAATTGATATATTGCGAGTGAAAAGATACTTTTTATGATAATATAAGTCAGTAGAAATGCCCTGCAAACTATCTCCAGATTTATTTTGTTATGTTTGTGGTCATTTGATTAAAAAGCAGCAGAAGAAGCATCAAATAGTTGTTGGAACCAAGTTTTTAGAAGCATATAAAGCTTATTTTGGATTTTCCATAAGTTCTCAAGATAAACCTTGGGCTCCTCATGTTTGTTGTGGTAGTTGTCGATCAACTTTAGAAGGATGGCTGCGAGGTTCTAGAAGAGCAATGCCTTTTGCAATTCCCACAATGTGGAGAGAGCCGACCAATCATGAGGATGATTGCTACTTCTGTTTAGTCGACATTTCAAATTTTTATGCAAAAAAAATGATCGTCACAGTGATGTAGTTTATCCAAATATTTCTTCAGTAACCTCTCCTATACCACATAGCGATATACTTCCTGTTCCTAATCGTCCTCAAACTGAAATGCTCGTAGAAAAAGATGAGCAATGTAAAAATAGGTAACTTCGTAACTTACATTAAAATGTAAAATACATAATAATTTAATTCGGTTCCTAATTTACACAATTCTGAGGGAAAGGTTTTTTTTGCATTCTAGGACGAAAAGCTGTTTTCACGAGGAGGAATAAAAAAATAAAAAGGAGATTTATGATTGGTTGATCTTAGTTTACAAGTTCTGCGCAGACGCAAATATATATCTATTTAAAAATCCCTACTTTTATCCCGGACCAAGCATATTTTATTTTTCCACGTGAAAACAGCTATATAGCTTCTGAATTTAATCTAAGAGATTGCAAATAACTAAAAAGTGATTCCTGAAATAACTAAAATTATTAAACTTTTTTCTACAGTGTCACTGAAGCATGCTATTCAGTATTATTAGGAAATGATGATGACGATTGCTTTTTTGATGATAACATGGATGATAAAGATGAGTCAAGTAAGCAACCACATTTTCCAAATCAAAAAGAACTGGATATTCGATAGTTCTTCACAAAGTATCAAAGCAGTGTTACTGCATAATGGAAATAAGTATCCTTCAATTCCTGTGGCACACTCAGTCCACTTAAAAGAATACTATCAGAACGTCAAACTTTTGCTGAAGAAAATAAATTACGAAAAATACCAGTGGGATGTGTGCGGTGATTTTAAAATGTTGGGATTTTTACTTGGATTACAAGGGGGTTACACAAAGATTCTTGCTTCCTGTGTCTTTGGGATAGTAGGGCTGATTCACAACATTTCATCAAACGAGACTGGCCAGCAAGACCACACCTGACTCCTGGACGCTACAATGTCATTCATGATCCACTTATAGAAGTTCTGAAAATTTTATTGCCACCTTTACATATAAAATTGGGTCTAATCAAGCAATACGTCAAGGCTCTAAGTAGCACATCAAAAGCATTCCTTGCGATAAGAGCAATGTTTCCCAAGCTATCAGATGCTAAAATAAAAGCAGGTGTATTTACAGGACCTCAAGTTCGACAAATGTTAAAGTCGACGAAGCTGGAAGAAGTAATGACAGCAAAAGAGAAAAATGCTTGTCAAGCTTTTAGACTGGTAGTGGAGAATTTTCTCGGAAATAAAAAAAGTAAAAATTATGCGGATCTTGTTGAAAACCTGCTGAAGCATTTTCATAAACTTGGATGTCGGATGTCACTAATTCGGTAATGAAAATCGATTTTTAACAAGTGCTCTCTATCCCAACTATTTTGACTATTTGAGATAGTTATTTCATGTTAAATAAATTTTCTGCGCAATTATCATGCACTTTTCAGTTTTGGGACTCAAAGTTGAAGGTTTAAGCTTTCATTCAAGCCCTCGTGAAGGTTTTTATCTTTTTGCGTTTTCGTTTTACAACGCTTTAAAAAGTGCTAAAAAAGCGATTTTTTGACACTTTAATCTCGTTTTTTACGGAACTGACCGAATGAAAAATTTTTTTTTGGGTATATTCTTGTTCAGTGACACCTAAACTTTCAATAAACACAGAAAATTTTAAATAAACACGACTTGACCATTTCTTTGTAACCCAGTGTATTTTAACATGCACATATCTAGTTAATTTACTTTAAACAGATAGAAAATATACTTTTTCTAAATATAAAAAAATTTAGTGCATAAAATAAGTCGCGGTAAATTACTTATCGATAAGACTCCGGTAAGTCACATTGAAATTAGGAAGTTGTAGATACATTTATCGAGGAATTAAACAGCTGATTATCTTTCTCTCTCTTTCTTTCTCTCACATACTAATTTGGTCTCGTTTTCCTCTCTCTATGATGCAGTTTTACCTCTAGCGGATAGTTTGAGTACTTTGAAACTAATTTGTCGGTTGGTACTGTTTAAAGACAGTTGCAATGTGAAAACTAAATATTGGTATTATTTACAAGTAAGTACTTTCAACCTTGTTTCATTTTGTGTTTTATTTAAAAATATAAAAATATTTTTACTCTTAAAAAAATATTATATGTGGTATAGTTCTATAAAACTTGTAAATTATAATGAAAAATGTTTTATGTTTGAGGTTAAGTAATGCTGGTGATACCCAACAATATATTTTATCAAAATAATATTCTTATTTAAATGTAGCAAATAATTTAACGTATAGCTATGAATGATTTGAATGTTTTAGGTGTAATATAATTATGGAGGTGGATAATTTAGACAGGCTGTCACAACAAACGTCCCAGACACTATCTGAGTTTGGCGAAAGTACGCCAGAAGGAAGTGAATTCGTAATTCAAGATTATTTTATTCGTAATCACCGTGAATTTAATGATGACTATTCCAGTAATTCTTCTGAAACATCTGATGTTTACCAGGAAGAAAATGTAAGCATAATCTATAAAAAATTTTCTCTTGAAATTATTACCATTACTATTTTAAAAGTAAATGTATTTATTTACTTAGAAAAAAAAACTTGAAAAAACCCAAAGATACTTTTGAGTAATTTGTTCAACTATAAAAAGTGTTTTAATATTTTTTAAAATTAAAAATTGAATTGTAAATATAAAAAGTTTTTAAATTTTTAGGCTAAATTACATATAAAAAATATAAATAGGTTGCGAATATTTGAAAATCATTTTGAAATTACCTTATTCAATATAATAGCTTAATTCCAACAAAATAAAAATTTGGTTTATTTCATTTCGTTCTTTCATACTAAAGATTTTTATTTATTTATTTAGAAATATTTCAAAATATTTCTCGAATTTTGAATGTTAAAATAAAAAAATTCTTTTGTTAATTTTTCATTTTTAATTTAATTAAAAATTATTGCTTTGAGTATTAAAAGATTAATTGTTTATTTAATAAATATTTAATTTATTTTTTATTATTATATAATTTTCTAAAATATCAAAAAATAAAAAATCCGTTCACTTAAACGTTAAAAAATTCAGAATCACATTTAAAATTAATTTTCTTTTTGTTCTGTTTCAAAGAATAATGGAGACGAGTCAGAAGACAATGTTGACATTCCAGAACGGAATATCTTCCAGGACTATGAAATAGAAAGTTTAATAATTTCTGAAGAAAAAGAAGAACATGAAAAAGAGTTTTTAGAGAAGGGATGTGGCTGCGGCTATAATTGTATAAAGAATTTTAAAATCGAGGACATAATGAGCAGTAGGCTTGGCTGCAAAGATTGCGATGTATATTGCGATCAACATGTAAACCATCAACACATTTTATTGCAAGGTGCTTTAAATGCTTTGTGTAGAGTCAACGAAGAAACAAAGCAAAAAGAGCATGCTCCGAAAATCCGTAAAGCCAATTATACACAATATTCTTTCCGTGGCGTTGATGTCTGTCGAAAGTTCTTCATGTTCGTATTTGGTTGTGGAATAAGAAGACTACGGAACGTTAAGTCTCATTTTCTCAAGAATGGTGTGGAACAACGGAGTCACCAAAACACAAGCTTAAGTTCTAAATGCTTCTCTGTCGAGTGTCGTATTAAAGCGGTGACATTTATAAAAAAATTTTGTGCTCAAAACGCACTGATTTTACCAGGTCGATTGCCCGCTTATCGATTGAATACAGATCTCAATATTTTACCCTGTAGCATGAGTAAATCGTACATCTTCGATTTATACAAAAAAGCTGCCGAGGAAACAGATATTGAAATTGTGGGCAAATCAACCTGGTACGATTTATGGAATACGTTTTGTGCCAATATCGTGATCCAAAAACCCAAGACAGATTTATGCAACGTTTGCCAAAAACAAACTATATCGTTAGAAAAAATGCAGGGATTGACCGAAGAAGAGAAGAGAGAAAAAATAAATGAATCCCTTCAACACTTGGATAACGTAACGACCGAACGAGCTTATTACAACACAACAATATCGCAGAGTCTTGATGAAATCAACAATTCCTGTTTTGGTATCCGTCTTGGTCAACATGAACCACGTTCCTATTCCGGTCAAATGCATTATTCTTTCGACTTTGCCCAGTTTGCCTTATAGTTCACAGCAAGTTGGAGCATTGTACTTTTTAGCTGGTTATAAAGTTGCTCTTTTTGGTGTAGCAGCTGAACCTTTAAAACAATTCGTGTTGTATGTAATACCCGAATCATGCAACACGGGAAAAGGAAGCAATGTGGTGATTTCATTGCTTCATCACTTTTTTGAAAATTTTGGAATTGGTGAAACTGATATTATATGCCATGCCGATAATTGTTGCGGTCAAAATAAAAATAACTATTTGCTTCAATATGCTGCATGGCGAATAGCAAATGGACTTTATGATTCGTTTCAACTTTCATTCCTGCCAGTTGGACACACGAAATTTTCGCCTGATTTGTACTTCGGACTTTTCAAGAAACGTTTTCGATCTTCTGATTCAAATAATTTGGAAGATATTCTGTCAGTTGCTGCCTCGGCTTGTCAAATGAGCGACACAATAATGGCAGTCTCGGTTGGAACGGAATCAGGTGAAGTAAAAATTTCCTCTTACGATTGGAGTGGCTTTTTCAAACAATTCTTTCCAGCTCCCGTAAAACAACTGCTCTCGTATAATCACTTTGTTACTGACAAAGAAAATCTTGGTGAGATAAAATTTAAATTAGGATCACAGAATCCTCAATACGAACGGGTAAAAATTTTCAAACACGAATATATTGAAGAGCTACAAAAAGGGTTCCCGACAGTTGTGAATCCTCAAGGAATTTCAGTTGAGAGACAAAAATATTTGTATGAAAAAATCCGACCGTTTGTACAAGATGATTCCAAAGATGTTTTATGTCCAATCCTGCCAGCAGTACAAATATCAAATGAACTTCGAGATTCACAACGTGCAGATTCAGATCAAATTGAAGAGTCGGACCGTGCAAAAACTCAACAATCTACTGAAAATAGTTCAGCTGGTGTAAATTCTCGTGAAACCCGGCTGAAAAAACTTGTACAAGAAAATGTACAAGTTCTTGTACATGTTCATTAATGAACTTGTACATTTTCTTGTACATGTTCAAGTAATGTTCTTGAACAAGTTCAGCATCCGGAATTGAGACATGTTCTTCAACCAGAACTTGTACAAGATCATGGATAAAAAAATATACTTGTACAAGAAAATGTACATGTTCTTGTACATATTTTTTGTGCAGGTTTCATGTACAAGTACTTTTACATGAACACGTTTATGTTCTTGTACAAGAACATTTGTTTAAAAATGTTTTTGAAAAAAATTTGAAATTTTAATAAGTTATAATTATTAAGACTCTTTACTTATGCATGCTAAAAATTATTGCGCAGCTGTAAAGGCTTAAGAAAACTACTGCGCAGCCTTTAAAGTTTTTAATTTTTAATTTAAAAGACATAAATGAACATGTACAAGAACATGTTCCACATCTGGTACAAGAAAATTTACATGAAACCTGCACAAAAAAATATGTACAAGAACATGTACAATTTTCTTGTACAAGTATATTTTCGTATCCATGATCTTGTACAAGTTCTGGTACAAGAACATGTCTCAATTCCGGATGCTGAACTTGTTCAAGAACATTACATGAACATGTACAAGAAAATGTACAAGTTCATTAATGAACATGTACAAGAACTTGTACATTTTCTTGTACAAGTTTTTTCAGCCGGGAACTCTTCTTATGCCATCTCGAAAAAATCCACGTTGTGGTTATTGTAATGAAATAGGACACAGAAATTCAATTAGAAATAATATTCCTCTTTGCCCAGTGCGAAAACTTTCAAAAACGTAAAAGAACATTCAATATGTTGAATATTATTGTTTAAACTTTGGCATTTATATTGGTTACTGTAAGAAATCAAAAGACGTTTAAATTTGTCATTAAAAAAAAAGAAAAAAACCCGACACAATTCATGATAAAATAAAAAATAAATTCTATAAATAAATTTTTAAATGAAATAGAGTTAAAAATATCTAAATCAATGTCACATCAAAGCCATTTATTTTTGTAATTATTTCAACTTTGTATATAAAAACTATCGCAATAATTGTTTTATGTTTATAATAGTAAAAATAATGGTTTTTAATAAAGATAAAAAAAAATTTAATTGAGTCAAGTCTCTAATTCCTTTTCGTACAAAAAGAAATGGTTAATTTATAGAAAATCGCATTTTTAAGAAAACAATTGTTTTTTTGAATCTTCATTGTTTACGAAATAAAGGGGGAAGAAGGGGGGATTTCAAATTTATTGATTTTTCATCTTAGAGGTGTACTTAGCTTAAAATAACTCTCATCTGAATAACTTCCCAGAAAAACCAAAGACATTCGCATTATAGTCTTTAATTTCGTTTTTTTTAAATGAAAATTTCGATATTTCTTAAGATTATTCATAATAAAGTCAATTAAAAATTTTTTTTTGGTCTACTTTCTCTTTTTTCTTCTTCAAATAACTCAATAAAGTAACACACAACTATTCACTTCGTAAAAAATTCGGTTTATTAATTAAAAATCGCATTTTTAGAAAAGGTACCACTTTGTCGGTTATACGTTATTTTCGAGGTTATTTTAAAAATGGAGGGGGGGAAATTTTAAACCTATTGATTTTTCATCTTTAAGGTGTTCTTGAACTAAAACAACTCTCATCTGAATAACTTCCCAGAAAAACCAAAGATATTCGCATTATAGTCTTCAATTTCGTTTTTATGAAAATGATAATTTCGATATTTTTTAAATTTTTTCATAAATAAGTCAATTAAAAAAATTTTTTTTGTCTACTTTTTCTTTTTCTTTCTTTAAATGACTCAATAAAGTGACATACAATTATTAACTTAAAAAAATCGATTTATTAATTAAAAATCGTATTTTTAGAAAAGGTACCACTTTATCGGTTATGCATTATTTTGAAAATGGATGGGAGGGAAATTCTAAACCTATTGATTTTTCATCTTTAAGGTGTTCTTGAATTAAAACAACTCTCATCTGAATAACTTCCCAGAAGAATCAGAGATATTTGAATTTCAATCTTTGATTTCGTTTTGCTCGAAATGGTGTTTTTGGCACTCTGAACTTTAAAATTCTGTAACTCAGCGAATTTTGCACCAAAATGGACGTAAGACCCCTCAAAATTTCCCAAATTTAACAAGGAATTTGACCATGTAGATAAGTCCAATAGTGCCAAAGTGGTACCTTTTCATTTGGACGTCCACATATTATTACCTACACACAACACACAAATATAAATAATAATATAAAACATTGAAAAATAGAACAAAAAAAACAAGGAAAACAAAAAAAAGCAAAAAACAACAACAACGTTAGAACACTCGTCTTTATCGATGCTACACTGAAAAAGCAATCGATAACAGCTATATAGCTATATACACGTTGTTGGATCGTGGCGACGACTGCACACACGCTTGACAGTTTTCGCGGCAAATAGAGGTAATGTTGACCACTTTTGGTAATCAACATTTAATCAAAAAAACTATAATTATATTAATAAAATAATTGCATGACGACTCGTTAGTCAATGGCGACGCGAACAAGCTAGCAGCACGTCAATTCTAGCGCATATTCTTGTTTTAAGAAGAAGAAGATTTAGTACATAGAAAATATTCTTAAAGTTAGAATCTGCTTAAGAATATTTATGTAAGAATATAACATTCTTAAAACTAGAATATTTTAAGAATATTTTTAAGAATATTTATGTAAGAATATAACATTCTTAAAACTAGAATATTTTAAGAATATTTTTAAGAATATTTATGTAAGAATATAACATTCTTAAAACTAGAATATTTTAAGAATATTTTTAAGAATATTTTTTTAAGAAAATAATAATCTTAAAACTAGAATACCGTTTTTTCGGTGTATGCACAATTTTTTTCAAGTTCAGAAATATAACGAATTGTTCTTTATAAGTTAAATCAACTAATAAAATATAAGTCAATTGTCCAGCGCCAGGTCAGACCGTCTGGCCAGCGTATAAAATCACCAGTCTCTCGTTTCTTAGACCGCACGAATGAAGGCTGGCTTTTAAACCCAATGAGGTCTCCTTATACTACTTCGTGATGTATATTGAATGTTAGCGCATGCGTGTGATTAACATAACAGGAACCAGGATTGCGATAATTTTTATGATTATAAATTCCCGGTTTCCCGGTCATATCGCCACCCAGGGGAGGTAGTTTGTAAAATGACACAGATGTACAAAATAAGACTTTTTTTAGATGTCGGAATGGTTTTCAATGTAATTTTGTGTGCTGAACACGTTTCCGTGTTCCAAAATTGCATATAATGTCAGGATTTTGAGTAAAGTAGAAATAAAGCCCCTAAAAACCATGTTTTTGAGGGTTTTCATTTTTTTTCTCCTTAACCCGACGTGCTAGACACTTCTATATAAGCTTAAATCGTGTAATTTAAGACCTATATACGGGTTTAAGACCCATATAAACGTTTCTATACGTTTTGAAAAAACAGCTGCCAAATTGAAGTATGAACTTTTTGTGTTCATTTCACGAACACTTTGCTTCCTCATAGAGATTTTTTTAATATTATAATAATTTTAAAAAGGTGTTAAGTTGTATTTTTTGGACGTTTGCAGAGATAGATTTTTAACATTAATAACTTTGTAATATTTCACAACAAAAGGTTCAATAATAGGTCAATTGAGTCGTTTTTAAATATTCTCCAAGTTGTTAATAATATTTTTAAAGATATTGTAACGGTTATTTTTGTTTATTATTGTAATTGTCACACCTTAATTAAATTCAATAGAACAGTACAAACACATAAAAAGAAAAGAAATTGATCAATTAAAAGTTATAACATTAATATATTTTAATAAATTATTCGTTAAACATTATAATCATTCAGTCAAAAATCACACAAATTAATCATTCCCCTTTTAGCACAATTATTATAAATATTTGTCTGATGAGCTCATCATGCATGATAATTAATAATTTAAAACGAGGTCTGACATATTGAAATATAGAGAGAGATAACAAATTAGGATAGTGTGAAAAAGAGTTATTATATAAAATACGACTTATCGCATCCTTGGTATTTTTTTGTAGGAGTAATACCAATCGATACTGAGAATTTCGCTCGTGGATAATTTCACAATCCTCCAAGGTTCGTCG